CTGCTTGAATGGGTAATGAAGCAAAACTTTAATATAAGTATAACATAACAGCAAATGTACAATGTTTCGATTCGCTGTTATGTTAAACTTATATTAAAGTTTTGCTTCATTACCCATTCAAGCAGTCTCCAACCATTATTAAACAAACTTAATGTTCAAAAGAATATTAAAAACACACACACACACACACAAATGGTTAAGAAACTGCAAACATCTTGTATTCTCAAAAGTAGTAAGAACACCAATTGCAATGAGAGAAAAATACAATACAGATATTGACAATCCATTTGCTAGCGTATAAACAGCAAGTCTAAAGCCTCTGGCTCAAATGCTGATAGGCGAATCGTGATGCACCGACTCCGCTAAATGATCCGATGTGTTCAACGTAATGGCTTTATCTGGTTCACGGTAGCCATCTAAGAGAAAGAAATGGGTAAATTACGTGGTTTCCACGGAACGAGAAAACGGCACACTGATGCCTATCAGAGAGCTGTGTCGAACAACAAAAGAAGATTTCTTCAAAAACCAGCTTCCCGTGGAGTGATAACGATACTTTAATAGTAAGCCAGTGGATCTGTAGACTAATTTATTGGTACCAGCTTCGCATGTCTGCCCAACTAACCACATGTAGCTTCAGTTTTGAGCGATCTTTACCGTGTTGAAAAGAGGCAGTAGCATCCTTCCTTCTGCACTCAACAGATACATATATGCCAGCGTTTCCGCTCAAGAAAACCCATTAGATCTCGATTATGTCACGAATCTTCTTCTCCCTCTCTTCATAAGCGAAAAACATTTAACTTTGTTCCCTTTCTAACAGATATAGTTTAACTCGTCTGGATTCCTCACCATGTCTATCCAGCAATGTGTAGATGCCAAGTTATGTGACATTTAACTAATATTAACTAATTACTAGTCACTTTATTCTGTCGCTTAACTGTTTAGTTTAAGAATAACACGGGATTGGAAACTGTTTTTGAAAATTTGATACATAGCCACCTCTAATTTAGAACTGTTGACTGGAGGAAGAGCAACTACTCAGCTGCAACTGTCGTCTTCACAGCTACTCTTGACCGATCAGCGAGATTGACTGTTACGGTTATAACGCCCACATAGCTGAAAGAGCGTAGGTTATACAAAGTATTTATTCTACATGGTATTACCCACTTGACGCATTTCAAAGGCTTCATTGTGAATAAACACCCTGTAATAGTGGGTATATATAAACATCGAAGCCAGGAACACTGCTACTACCTAAGAATATTAGCTTTACTTCAGGTGTAATAATTACTAGCAAAGAGTTACTGGTACTGCTGATTTGATTTTCTGAGTTGTGTGTTAACTAAAATTGTGCATACAAAATGCAACAGGATGAATAAAGAGTTTATAATTTTCCTGGTAGTAGTAGAAGTAGCAGTAGCGATTACATTTTTCGTTACAATTTACAATACGCGAGCTTTTGAAAACAGAACCCTATAATAAAGTTTTGAGGATTGATAATCACACAGGTCCCATGAAGTGACATAAAAAGCGCGGGGAAGGAGGGCGAGGCGCCCCTCACTTTTCAATCTATCTTAGTAAAAATACATCAAAATTGCAGTTAGGAAAAGCAGAAGAAAGCATAAAATTTAATCCTGAGCCAAAGAGCTTCCAAGGCCCTAAGAAGACCCCAGTCGTAATGGATGCGCCTATGGCGCACGTTCCCTCACTTCGTTCAGTCAAATAAACCTTGTTCCCCGCTCCCCGACTTTTAATTTGGCTCCTACACCTCTGCCATGTCTACGTGTATTTTACTTCTCCCGACAACTGTTGTAATTTAATCAGGAATCACTTATCAATATAAATTAAAGAGCTACATATCACTATATATGATACATTCTGAAATTTACAGATGAGCAGACCACATAATATACAGCCTACCAATAAGTAAGTGTATACACCCGTTCCATACCGTTTTATTACAAACACAAAAATGAAATAAATGTACGAGGGTACAATTAGTTCTTAGTGGATCTACCCTTTACAATATTTAAAGCGGAAACACGATTAAATACAGTAGTCAGAAGATCTCAAATCAGGGCCTGTGAGACTACATCCAACTCCATTAATTACCGAAATCCTTTCGGCCATGGCATAGCTGTTTGTATTCTGTGGTCTTTGCCGAGTTATACTTGTATTTATATGTCTTGATTATTTCTTTACGTCCTTACTTTTGTAGTATAATAACTTAAAAATAATGTAATATTTGAGATCTGCGTAAAACCTTTAAAGAACTTGGGCTGAAAGAGAATATACATTTGAAACTAAATGTCAAAATTGGCTGATAGTGGATATGTTCTCTATCAGTCCAAGTGGGATATTTAGTTGGATACGTATGCGTATCCAACTAAATATCCCACTTGGACTGATAGAGAACATACGTATCCAACTAAATATCCCACTTGGGCTGATAGAGAATATACGTATCCAACTAAATATCCCACTTGGACTGATAGAGAACATACGTATCCAACTAAATATCCCACTTGGACTGATAGAGAACATACGTATCCAACTTCTGTTGTTGTTTTTTTATCATAACATTTCAATCGACAATAGAGGGCCACAAACTTAAGTTACAACAACAAAAACACGAGGTATGGGTTTAATATATCAAACAGAAACTATGTCTAATCAGTATTTCAAACAGCTAAAAACCCTTGGTCGTAATGCCTGGTTACATATTCACTTGCCAACAAGGCTTCTTACAAGAAGGCTTGAAAGAATTTGCATTATACTAAACAATCGTTACACTACATGCATCTAATTTTACATCAGCTATGTAATGGCAACTGGATCACTTATTCGCTACTTAGGTTATAGCATAAAGTAAAAAGTACCAGATGAGGCTATAAAACGGCCGAAAATTATACTTGAGGAGATAAAATGCTGAGTCTTTCTTCCAGCGACAAAGAGAATATTAACCTCTCATTATTATGTCGCTCTAGCGGACGTATATCTAAAGTTTTGTATATATAACAAATATA